AGCTGTAGGCGGCAGGCGCGGCCGCCTCTGCGTCTTCCTCCGCGGTGAAGCACCAGCTCTGTTTGCAGCCGGTGTTTTGGTTTTACTCGAACAGGTCCCTGAGTTCATAGCAAAAACTGTGGGTGTTTCTTGGTTTTAAACGGGCTTTTCTGGTTAAGTCGAGTCTAACTCGATTTTAAGACGGTATATTAAGTGTTTATCTCCATAGAAAAACTCAGTGTAAAATAGCTGTGTTGGACTGTGTACTTTGTGTGGGTTTCATTAATGTCAGGTTCTTTTTCAGATTTTTTTTTTTTAACTCAAATGGGTGATGAAAAGGATTCTTGGAAAGTGAAAACTTTAGATGAAATTCTTCAGGAAAAAAAACGAAGGAAGGAGCAAGAAGAGAAGGCAGAGATAAAACGTATGAAAAATGTAAGCTACCCTTCGGTACACACACATTTCTAATGAAACCTGAGGAGTTTCAGTGCCTACATCCTCATTTTCTGATGGGAACGAGGCTTCTTGCCCCATCAGTGGGATTCCTTTGTGCATGTTTTGTGGGTGATTTCTAATGCCATAGTTTGACACACATAAAAAAAAAAAAGATGCTTTGCTAAGATCTCATTGACCTTATGTTGTATGCTGTGTTTTGTTTCATAGCTGTTGGTTAGAAAGGGTAAAGAAATTAATGTGATTAATTGGAAGGTGCTGTTCAAGTAAAAACCTTGCAAAGATTTTGTAGAAGAATGGGTTTAAATAATTATTCTCAAATAACTTTTATGTTACTGTTTGGTTTTGTACAATTACGTACAAAATATGTTTAAAAACCCACAACAGTTAATGTAATCCTCCTTAATTAGTGTTTAATTTTGTCTAATTACATTGAATTTAGAGAAGTTCAGCTGTAACTGTATTTGGCTGCTTAAAACTCTGAAATCTGCTTCGCAAGTTAGTATACTGGTATGACCCGTTGAGGATGGCTTTTGAGCAAGGAATGGAAGGCTTGAGTACTATTTATATTTTTTCATTTTGTGATATGAAAATTAATTATGTTTTGGTTTTGCCCTTTCTTGCGTTTCTATCACAGTCAGATGATAGGGATTCAAAGCGGGATTCTCTTGAAGAGGGGGAGTTGAGAGATCATCGCATGGAAATAACAATCAGAAATTCACCTTACAGGAGGGAAGACTCTATGGAAGACAGGTAAGAATAAGAGAATAACCTTGTTACCTTAGGAAGAGTTACTGACATTAACCTCTAGAAGTACTGAGAAAAGGGTTTAAAAATATCTGAAGGGGAAAAGTTTAATTTATTTAGCATGCAGATGTGCCATCTTGCCTCTGTTCATAGAATGTGCCAGGCGATCATTTTGAAGTACTGATTAAGGTTCAGCGGAGTATTGTGGTCCAATTTTGACCACTACCTAGTAATAAAACATTTTGCTCAAGATGTAGTTAAAGCGGACTGTTAAGTTCTTTTTAGTGCTTAATTCATCCTCAGTTTGCTTGTGTATTAAAAGTGCACACATAATAAAATCTAATCTTGTCATCTACGTGACTGATTTCTGTTAATGCCTTGGTTCAGGTGTATTATGGCAATGATTTTTAGTATAAATTAATAAAAAAGGGAAAAATACATGCTTTTCATAATGGAGAAAAGAGGAAATAACACACAATCTGTTTGACAGTACATGTAACCTTCCTGAGTTTATTTGTCTTGTATTTTAGAGGAGAAGAAGATGATTCCTTGGCTATAAAACCACCACAGCAAATGTCACGGAAAGAAAAAACCCATCATAGAAAAGATGAGAAGAGGAAAGAGAAACGTAGACATCGTAGTCATTCAGCAGAAGGTTGTTATTACTGCATTTGGGTAACACTTCTGGGAGCTTCCCAAGGTGAACCCAAACAAGCACTACTTAGAAAAAAAAAACCCCAATAACTACAAACTAAAGAAAACATGTCAGGTGGATAAGACAGATGAATTTAAACTTGTGCTGTTTCTTTGATTATGTTTAATGCCCTTATGGGAATGACAGGGATATATATGTGTTTGAGAGGACTGTAATCACTTTGGGACAGAGACATTTGTGTCTGACTGTAAAGGAAAAAATATCCTTTCTAGAAACATTCATGTTGTATTCCTCTTGCTAGCAG